CCCTCTGAAAACAAAAAAAAAAAAAAAAAAAAAAAAAAAAAAAAGCTGTGTACAATGGAAGTCTATGAGGCAAATGAGCAATGGATGGAAATGGCCAAAAAAATGGATATTATTTTATTGCTTGTAATTTGTTTCTTTGTTATTTGTTCTTCAAGGTCTATAGGGCAAGTGTGCATCTGATGGAGATTGTCCAAAAACAATTATTTTATTGTTTGTAATTTGTTTCTTTGTCGATAATTTATTTGTCTTAAGTAATTCTAGTAATTCTTAAAATCTTATTAAAATTATTACATTTATATACAAAAACACACACACACACACACAAATATATTATTGTATATATATAGTATTATTAAACATTATATAAAATATTCAAATAATTAAAATAAAGTCTTGAAGGCTAAACAGTGTTTTATTTTAATATTTTATATTATATATACACATATATGCAAGTTTTACACACACATATTTAACTGACAAAAAAGGCACTTACAATGACACATGTTGATGTTTGGTCACCTACTGCTTTCTTGGTTGTAATTTTTTATTTTTTTGCAATGTTTACTATTTACTATTAAAATAATTTTCAAAAAATACTAATTTTAATATATATATTTATTTATTTATTCCATGTAAGCATGTGTTCAATAGCAATTTAGCTTTTGCTTGTAGTACCAAGAACAGTCAAATATTATTGTACCATGATATCCTTTCTCCTGACCTTTGACCCATTAAGTCCACTTGGCTTTCATCTTACTGACCATTAGTCTAAATATAGAGTCTGTAAATCTTGACTGCCTCTTTTAGACAGTTTATCTCATTTTCCATTTCCTCTTCTTTTTTTAGCTCTTGAACTGAGCTGGGCTTTGAGCAGAGGAATGGAGGGAAATGACGGGGCAGGAAAAATGAGTGGAGAGGGAAAAATAAAACAAGGTGTGGGAAAGCGAATGATTAAAAAGCAGTGTTTATGCATACCCGTGTGTATGCGGGACTCTGAGTGATGTTTGGACGTGCAGACGCACTCGAGATGATCCTCCAGCTGCACCTGCACCTCCCGGAGCTTCGGCCTCCTGCGTACGTACTCCACCTTGGCCACCTGAGCGAGAGAGAGCGAGAGCGAGAGCGAGAGAGGGAACATCCTGAGTAACACGCACACACTCATAACCCTATCAACAGTGTATTTTTCCTCTGCTGTTCCAGAGGTGAGATAAGGCGAGAGCTAAATGTGACTTGTCGGTTTCCTGCAATGCAGATGAGCCGCCTCAAACCTCTCTTTCTAAACACACACACACCCCTCACATCATACTGACAGACTCCTTCCCTCCCTGCCAACTCAGCTGCCCTGCAGGCCCATTTATACAATACTTTATTCAGGTCTGAACACTCACACACATAGCTGGCGAGATAAACGCAATAGAACACACCCCACAGCCTCAGTGTTACAGACAGATATTTGCAGCGGTTAACTCAAGGTTAGGGCTATTCGTTAACTAGCTGCGGAAGTCTGGCCTGAAACTCTTTGAGGGTGTTCAGCGGCCCTGAAATTCTCATTGACATTGTCCTCCCTTTGGCACGTCCTACGCCTCGCTTTTGTTACATTTGAATTTGAGACATGTGAAAAGCTTTACATGCTGAAAATGAGCTTGACAAGTGGCAAACACGGTCACGGCCTTGTGCGCATGGAGATTTACGTCAACAAAAACATATTTCCATTATAAATGTGTGAAGGAGAAAGAAGGTAGAAGGTCATAGTTCCTGTATGTTTCATTTAAGTATCAGCTTTCAGATGTTTCACCTATAGTTCCTATAAAAAGGCACAAATGAGATCAGTTTTACATGCAGTAAAGGTTTCTCCTGAGAAGAAACATCTGAGATGCTGGAGACCTAAGCAAAATCCTCCATTTGCTCTCCATTTAATCTCGCTGCTGTCTAGCGGAAGCAACTGAGATATTTTTATCACTCATTTGTGATTTGTATCAAAATTGGGGGCCCAAAACCTAGGGAGCTGCCTACCTAGACTGAACTTTTAGGCATCATTTTTGGCACATGGCATATATCTTTGTGTGTTATAATATTCTATATTTATTATTTTTGAAAAAATAATGAAAACAAAATTAAAATAATTATAATTAAATAATTTAAATATATTTTAAAATATATATAAATATTTAATTTTATAATAATAATGATAATAATAATAATAATAAATAAATATGACATTTTTATATTTTATATTATATATATAAACGTATATCATTTTAATGTATATATAAAAATAGAATATAAAACATGAAAAATATT